TACTCCAGTTAATGTACCACTAACGCTCCTCATCCAGAACAATTTTTCTCACCTGCCTCATCATAATTTCACCACTTTGCTCCAGACTTATCCTAGATAATCCAGTACTGCTCCTCCCTGGCTTGCCTACAACTCCTATGCACCGCAGATTGGGTTCACCTACAGCATATTAACAAAATGAATTTGATCTCGCAGCTTATCTTAAAAACTACCTGGGTGAGATTCTTTTATACTACTGTTCCTTTCTCCCACCCAAGGTCTGGTTTGTAATCGGCTGCGTGCCAATGGCCAGTCTCCTCTCTCCTTGAGGACTCCGGTTAAAGCTGTCACTCCAGTAGGCTCAATGGCAGCTGGTCGTCAGCCTTCCAGAGGTCTGCCTGTCATCCAAGCACCATCTGCGGGAGGGGGCCGCAGGGGCCAGAGCCCAGGCTCTGCCAATGGCGCAGGCTACATACCTGGTAGACCCTCAGCTGCTGGGACAGGGAGGCCTGCTATGGGCGGAGAACCAGGTGTTCCATCAGGATCCACCAGGAGCAAACTTGCACAACCCACCACTAAGAGGTCAGAGCTCAAATGTAAAGTTTTTGTAGAATGTAGAGAAACTGAGTAATATTTCTGATTCACCGTTATGCTCTTGAGATCATCACAGTTTGAATGTTTATAGTACTGTTTTTTTGACCCACATCTGTAAGCCTTTCCTCTGAATGAAGATCAACTTCATCTTTTATTGACAGGTCTTTGGGCATGACTAAAATCTCAGACGAATCCTGGAAAGATGGCTGTTACTGAATCTGACCGGTCATGAAGGATGTTGACTGCTGCAGCCCTCACCTGGACCACTCCTTATTACCTTTCAGAGTACAGAACAGCACAACCACTGTGTCCACAAATGTGTCGTACATCCCTTGGGGTCCCCTGTTTCATACTGGAGCGCTGGGCTAACACTGGATTAATAGTTAAGACATCTCTTTCCTTTGCATGAAACATTGTCAACCCACACTCAGAGAAGATGTGTAGGCAGTCAAAATGCACACATGCACACTCCACTTGTTCTATGGACCAACTTGGAGCTTCCAGAAGATTTATTTGTGTCAACTTTACTTATTTTTCTATGGTAGTTGTGAGAAACTGCTGGGATATTAAGGGTTGTAATTACTTTTCTGTTGATGTAATTGATATGAAGATTTTGCTGGACTGTTAATTTTCTGTGTCACTTCCTACTACATGAAGGTGCTGAGTGTTGCATGCTTGTTTTTTCTTACAACCTGTTCATTATATAACTGCAATATGACTAATTCCATGTGACCCACAATCCCTGTGAATTTTTGAATGTTTGAGGTTTATAGTGAATTTAGATTTGCGTTGTATTTGTTTTGGTTTTCACTTGCACAGTAGTGCAACCCCCTGTAAACCACACTGCCCTTAAATAATATAAAAAGGAAGAAGCGGGTGTGTGTGGGGGGAGCAATGTGCATTTAAGGTGCAACACTTTCTAACTTCAGAAGTAATCTAGAGTCATTAAAGGTACTGGTGAGGTACTGTGTTTACCAGGCATTTCTACTGCATATCTAGAGGTGCATTTGAGTGTCTGGTTTTGGATACTGCTGTAATAAATCTAAATAAGAGTATGCACGAAGGCTTTGTGCCTTAGCTGTGCACCCTCATGCAGAGTGCCGAAAATTAGAAGCTGTAATGAAAATGAATAAAGTCTACCCTGAAACTAAAATTGTACTCCTGGTCATTTTTAGTCCCTGCATGCCAAGCTGAGGTCTTTGCATCACAATTAGTCACTATACAGTCCATCTCCAGCACTAGCAGCACCGTCTTTATCTCCCGGATATTTCCTGGGCGCATGACCAAACTGTTCACAAATGAGTGCTTGTCGCACTACCCACCCCTTTTGACAAAATGGCCTACAGGCCTCATCTGCGCATACAAAATTTGAGTGCACAGTCTGCGATCACATAAAAAATATTATTTGATGGTGTGATAACGTTTCAACATTGTGTTTAGATGCAGAGCACAAATATGCCCCCATTAGGAGAATGTTTGTGTTAATGTAACTGCTCTCTTATGCATGACGCAAATAGTAAGGGATCAGCGGTAAACGAGGCCACGCATTGTCTGCCCCCCGCCCTCCCTCTGCTTGTCAGGAAGCAAGCTGATTGGCCGAGGCCTAGCAAAGAGTGCCCGGGGATCCAAAACTGCAGGCCGCACTTAGCTTACCGTCAAAAATAAACTAAAACAATAACAGACAAAACTGGGGAGGGAGAGAAACACCGATTGAGTCAGAAGACGACGTTATCAGGTAAAATTATTTTCAATCGATTAGAAGGGCATGTGGAATAAGACGCAAGGGCCCAGTCGGCCGTAGCGGGCCTCTTTCAGCCTTTTCTGAAAACAACATGGAAGATAATGCGGCACACGCTGCTCCACCTAGCTTAGCAAGCTAGTTAGCCGAACGGACGGCCGTCATCGTGCGGGTTAGAGCAGCGTGCCTAAAAATAATCACCACAGACACCGTAGTTTGTTGTTGGTGCTAATGGCTTTATTAATATTGCAACACTGAATGTATTTGATACTTCATTCGCTAAATTAGATCGGTTATTGCATCTACTGAATTAGCCATTATGCTAAAACAAAATGGCGCTCGGGGAACAACTCTAGCTTGGTTGCTAGTTAGCTTTGGTGGGTGGAGAGCGGTAGCCGCCCTAGTATGCATTGCATAACGTCTGCAGTACTTTCATTGGCGGCCATAATCTCTGAGCGTGTGTAGTTTTGTGGAAAGAGTCCACAGTGCGCGTATTTTTTTAATGAGTAGTGTAGCACACGGAGTTTTTATGTCAGAATTATAAATACGTGGAAACAAGCACCCTCAACGTTACCGCTGATCACTGCAGACACTACATATTTGCCTTATTTTGAGCTGTCATGTGACGATAGTGTATTTCCTCTTACAAAACCAAGCAGGATTCTTCTTCCAAGAGCTATGAGAGCGCCTGCATTTGAGATCGTCCCCTTGCATGCTGAACGTGGCAGCCTTTTGTCTCAGCTGGGCTCCAGGTGTATAGTGTATGTTTTAAAGTCGAGGCTGTCTGTAGTACTCTGGATATGCAATGGATGGAGCCACTAGTCAACAACACAACTGCCCCCCTCCCCCTCGTTAGTGGTGCCAGTGCATTTACTATAAACAAATTAACCCGTGTATAAAGTTTATGTTTTAAATATCTTTACTACACTTGGATTGTGATGAGCTAACTCAGTATATTTATCATTTCTTCTAGAGTAAAGCTTAGGAGTACCAATAATTTTTTGTTTGTTTCTTTGTCAGGATTGTTTACCTTGATGGAAGGAAGCAGATCAGATATCCTCTTGGTTTTATTCTAAAGGTTTCTCATCAAATGTGAAGGTATGTACTGAATACAGGCCAGTGTGGCATTGTCAGTACTTGCATTCACTTTCATTTTTTAATATTGCACAAAAACTAAGGACAAGAACACCTAATGCAATGTACACTGTAATTTTCAGGGTTTTTTTCCAAGTAAAGACATGGATCAAGGAGGAGGGGTGTTGGAGCTACATGCTCAAGAGCTAAAGATGCCCCATGCTATGATCATGCAAGACTTTGGTAGGTGGTGAAGCTGAGCAGGTTTATGTTGTAAACAGCCCTTAATTACAACATGAAGTATCTAATCCAAGATGTCCCCACTTGTGACAAGAAAGCTAAAACCTAAAGCTTTTAAACATGAACTTTGTAAGTGTAAACTCTTATTAAAGACCCTCTCCATACATTAATTGTCTTTATGGGTCACAGTAACATTGCATTGTCAGTCTGACAGTTTTACCTCAGTGCAAAGCAAGAAGATGATTTAACTTCACAGACATGGGGCAAGCATAAATGTGCAAATAGTTGTATCCTGTAGGTTTAACTGTCATTTAGTTGTTTGGAACTCTTTGTCATGTGCACCTCTCTGTTTCCTGTTTTTACAGTTGCAGGTATGGGGGGTCTGGCTCACATTGATGGGGAGCACATTGTGGTTTCAGTGCCCGAGGGTATGCTTCTTTCTGATGTGATGACAGACGAGGGCATTCTCCTGGAGCATGGCCTTGAGGTGGAAGGCCTGGAGACCCAGGTGGTTCAAGGCCTGGAGACAGAGGTGGTCGAAGGCCTGGAGACAGAAGTGGTGGAGAGCTTGCATGCAAATGTGGAAGGGTTGGAGGCAGACGTGGTTGAGGGGTTACAGACACATGTGGTTGAACTGGAGGCTCAGGTTGTCGAAGGCCTAGATGGTGAAGTGGAAGTGGAGGGTCTTGAGGCACAAGTGGTAGAAGGCCTGGAAACTGAGGTAGATGTTGAGGGCCTGGAAGCTCATGTTGTCGAGGGCCTTGAGGAGGAGGTGGAAGTGGAGGATTTAGAAGCTGAGGTTGTTGAAGGTCTGGAGGTAGATGTGGAAAGTCTGCAGTCTCAAGGGGTGGAGGCCCATGAAATGACCAGTGAAGACATGGTTCCCTCAGAACACAGCGTGATCATGCCTGAGAACATCCTGGGGACAGAAGTTGCAATAGAGGAAGCTCTGGACCCTCACCACCACCACCACCACCACCACCACCACCACCACCACCACCACCACCACCACCACCACCACCACCACCATGTCCTAGCTTCAGACCTAATCCAGGACTCAGACCACCATCATGATGACATGCCAGACCAGGTGTTTGTTGCAGAGCTACTGTCTGAGCACCCGGACAACACCCTGGATCACCAGCTTGTGTCAGAAGGCTTAATGGTGACACAGGCCAACTCTGAGACAATAATCCATGAACAGCTGCCAACTGAGGCTGTTCCCCTGCAGACAGATGAGGATGACGATGCAAGGAGCAGCTCTGAGGATTACCTCATGATCTCCTGTAAGATACACCTTGACACATGGTTCTTATCTAATACACTGTAAATTATTGCAGTTTTACATAACCAGTGGTATTTATGTTATTCTAGTGGATGAGGTGGGAGAGAAGTTGGACATAGGAGACGCTCCCCTTGAGATCAGCACTGAGGTAATGGAGGACAAGGAATGCAAAGAGGAAGATGGCTCTGAAGTCATCAAAGTCTACATCTTTAAAGCTGAAGCAGATGACGATTTAGGCAAGCAACTTTTAAACTGACCAGTTTCTAATGGCTATCTTATTTTTTATTCAAGGGAATGTGGTTCATAGCATTTACAGGCTTGTATACAATGTTCGATTTCTAGGTGGAACAGAGGTAATAACAGAGGATGATTACCAGAATGGCCATCCTGATCTGGAAGCAGCATCATCAGGCAGACTGGGAGTTGGTCGTGACAAGATGGTCTACATGGCAGTCAAGAACCATCCAAAAGAGGAAGATGATGATGAGGACGACAGTGATGAGGATGCTGACAATGATGGCATCAGTATGTTTCTTTTTGTAACAGTTTTTCTATTCTTGTCATCAGACAAGTTGTGTGGTTGTAAATCGGTATAAGGTGTCCAAACACCACCAGTCTGTGACTGTTGAAAGTACATCAGCAAGAGGAGGCTGCAGTGTGTCAGTATTCCTTTCAGATCAGTTGTTCAACAACAAGATGTTTGTAAAGCAAATGTCAATCCTTGGATAGTCACTCAAACCTAAAAAAAGAACCAATTTAGCAGGTCTTCTGGTAAAAGGTAAAATATTGGTTGGTCCATCCTCTTGATAATGCATTGTAAACTGTCATGTCTGTGCAGGTAATGCCATTGATCAGGTGAAGAATGGAACAGCTACACCATTCCTGCAAATCCGAGAGGGACTGGGTGCCAACCGTGCCTTAAAACCCAAAGCTAAGAAAAAGAAGAAAGGAGAGATACGGCAGTGTCAGACCGGTATGATCAGCATATGATACTGATAGACAGTCAGATGATATGATGTGATAATTCACACTGACAAAATTTCACAATATTTTAAGTTGCACACTATTTTTCAAACTTCTCTCCCAGCTGTTATCATTGGCCCAGATGGCATGCCTTTAACCGTCTACCCCTGCCACATCTGTGGAAAGAAGTTTCGCTCACGAGGCTTCCTCAAATGCCACATGAAGAACCACCCGGATCACCTGCTGAAGAAGAAGTACCAGTGTACAGACTGCGACTTTACCACCAACAAGAAGGTCAGTTTCCACAAACACTTGGAGAGCCACAAACTGTTGAGTCACAATAGCGAGCGGTCTCCAGAATACACAGAGTACACTCGGCGCTACCATGAATCCAGCCCACTGGGCTCTGACAAGCTCATTGTCAAGGACCGAGAACCCAAACTGCATCACTGCAAGTACTGTGACTATGAGACAGCTGAACAGGGCCTGCTCAACCGGCACCTGCTGGCTGTGCACAGTAAGAACTTTGCTCATGTGTGTGTCGAGTGCGCCAAAGGCTTTCGCCACCCATCAGAGCTGAAGAAACACATGAGAACCCACACCGGTGAGAAACCCTACCACTGTCCGCACTGCGAGTTCCGCTGTGCAGATCAGTCCAACCTAAAGACTCACATCAAGAGCAAACATGGTGCAGATCTGCCTTTCAAGTGCAGCCACTGTCCACAAGCCTACGCTGAAGCACGGGAACTCCAGCGTCATATAGAGATGGTGCAAGGCCACAAGACCCACCAGTGCCCACACTGTGAGCACAAGAGCACCAACTCCAGTGACCTGAAACGACATATTATTTCTGTTCACACTAAGGACTTTCCCCATCAGTGTGATGTGTGTGAGAAAGGCTTTCACAGGCCCTCTGAGTTGAAGAAACATGTGGAGACGCATAAGGGCAACAAGGTGCACCAGTGCCGGCACTGTAACTTCAACGCTCCCGACACTTTCACCCTGAGTCGCCATATTCTGTCCTTACACACAAAGGACCTCCCATTCAAGTGCAAGCGATGCCGACGAGGTTTCCGACAGCCTGCTGAGCTGAAGAAGCACATGAAGATGCACAGTGGTAGAAAGGTTTATCAGTGCCAGTATTGTGAATATAACAGTACGGACGCTTCTGGCTTCAAACGCCATGTCATCTCCATTCACACCAAGGACTACCCTCACCGCTGCGACTACTGCACCAAGGGCTTTAGAAGGCCTTCGGAGAAGAGCCAGCACATAGCCAGGCATCACAAAGACATGTTGATGTAATGTCATCGCACACACAAACACACTCCTATCCTGAGTAATCTGCGTCGCACACCCAGAGGTAATTTTAGTGTATTAACAAAGAAATGACAGATGTAGACTGTTGATGAAGGCGACTTTCTAATTGCCGTTCTGTGTTGTAATGGGTGTAACCCTCCACCCCCAGGGTTAATGCAAGAACACATTTTAGATGGGGGTGAAGTCTAAAAAGAGACTTTGTGTACACTGAGTGGGACAGCTGTAAATGTTGTTTTGTTGCGTAAAATCACATATGAACATATATTCAGGGTTTCAAATGTCTATATTTTTATACCCACTCAGCTGAAATGCTGCAAGATGATGACTGTGTCCTGTAAAGAGAAAGCGGTGCTTGAACATCATGCCAGTTCTTCACATGATGTGGAATGAGTATAGGAGAGGTTTGCCTCCACAATACCAACAAGTATCTATTTTCCTCCAGCTTTTACCCTGACTTTTGTTTTCAATGTCATCTGGTCTTTAAGGGGCAGGGCCATTCATGAGCTCATAATTGGATTTGAGTAATGGTGACATGCATTATGCACCTTAAGACATATTATTCAATCTAGCAGTTGAATTTTCACAATGTTTCCTCCCAAGTCTGAACACTTAAATTAATCATGTAAGATGTAGTTTATATTATGTTAAATACATCAGAAATGTTTTGGTCTAGCAAGGAGGAGAAGGGTACAATTGGTATATTAGTAGAATATCCCTTTAGTGTACACAATACATTTCTGACACGGAAATCTGCTATGATGGTGCCGATAATTAACAGGTGTATTATATGAACCTCACAGATGTTTGGCTTCACGTTCAATAACCCTGAAGTGGTTATGTCTGACTGCTGCTCTAAGTTGCGCATGTGCGATATTGCCTACGACACAGATGTCCTCTCTCAGCTAACCAGTTGATTGCAATCATGCCTTACATGTGTTGGTCTTTCTCCCTTAAGCACTGGTGAACACAGCTAATCAAAAAATAAGTGATTTTTAACTCTCAAACATGCTGTATCAATACCATTCTCTCAGAGGTTGTGTGTTTGAGTCAGTAGAAAGCACTTTAATAACTTTTTTGTATTTTAATTACATGTATGGGGATATATGTACATATAGATCCCAAAATAAACAGAGAGCTTTGTGAGTGGGTAAAGTTAATGATTGTTTTGAGTGTTATCTCTAGCAAGTGGGCACAATCCATTACTGCATCAAAACTGAATTGTCATTGAAAGTGGTGGATGAAACCATTTGTTTTGTTCTATGGATAAGTGATTGGGTTTTGTGTTTTGTTTGTGCTCACTAACAACTTCCCATACCCCAGTTCCACAGTCCTAAGTAACCCCACCCGGTCCCAAGCATTGGAGTACTCCCTTGAAATCAGTGGTCATCATATTGGCATTAGTCTTTAAAGTATGCACATATATGCTGTCTCCATGAAATGGATTGTGGTATATATTAAAAATCCCTGCATTTTGTGTAACTTAATCTATATTTTCTTTCAGTCAGATTGTGGATAAACTACTGGTGGGGAAAAAAACCAAAATAAACAATTATCTTTTTAAGCTTTTGTCCTTTCTGTACAGAGAAAAGGAATTCATTGTACATGACTTCAGAAAGGTCCAGTCAGCAATTTTGTCACTATTTAACTATGAGTATACTGTATGCACCAACGTACATACATAATTAAACAGGTTTGCTTATGGCCGGTCTGTTTTTTCAAGTGTTATCAGTTGTTTTACATTTCGCAGATCATCTTTTTAATTTGCTCAAAAGGAAGCAACATAAAAACTGCATTGCTACATATTACATTACGCTGTTTCATCCAGTACATTTATAGGAGTACGACATTGAAGGGCATTGTGCAGAACCGTAGTTTTGCCTATGATAAAAATGAAGAATGGTCGAGTGCGGCGGTGTAATCCACAACGTGCTTCACTAGAGGCCTTTATATTTTAAGACCCTTAGTTGTAGCAGTCAGTCAGCTTGGAGTCCACAGTGACGCTTTATGCACAATTTCAACATAGTGCAACTGTTACTGTTGAGAGGTAATGAAATACACCAGTAAATCTTACTGTGGTTCCAGCGGCCAATGAGCCATTTATTGGTTAGTAAAGGTTCCACTTAATCACCAGCTCATTCTCCCACACATCTGTGCAGATGTGTAGGATTTAGTATATGAGAAGCCTGAGCTATGCTGAGCTTATCCCAGCAGACAGTAGTCCTGCACTACAGCTAATGCAGTGAAATAGATTCCATAACCTCAAAGCTCCAGATATTAAATCCAGAGACACAAAAGCATTTCAAAGTTTTCAGACTTAAGTGTTCAGATGCTTCAAAGAAAGAACAGAGCCTCTTTGGTTTTGCAGAAAGTTCAAAAAACTGTCATGAACTTGGAGGCTGGAGACAGAAGAGCTCCAGCTGACACAGCCTGCTCTGGGTCTGAACCAGCATTTTCCCAGCTAAGGTTTGAGGCACACGGTAGAGTTTTAGCCTATTTTGTAGCCAAGTCTGTTTGTGTCTACATCATGTGTGTCACAATATGAGTCAATGTTCAAAAAATGTAATTGGATGAAGTGTTGTTGACTGCTATTGTTAGGAGGGTGCGGAACACCACAGGTGCAGTAAACCTCGAGTAGTAGACATGGAAACTGAAACAGCTTCAAGTAATTCAGCCATCATGAAACTGACATGTCAAAGGTCTGCCTTGAAAAGAAAAACTATTAAACACACATCACATGTAGCTGCAGAGCTGTTGGAAAACAGCATTGAAAAGAATATTGCAGATGACTTGAAATGTTGATTGTTTAAAGTTACCCTGTGGTTCTGAGTCATGTTGCCACAAACTAAAAGTTTTCACCAAGTTGAAACTGATAATGTGCCCCGAGGGATGCGAGGGACACTTTACGGCTACCGTCAGTTTTTAAGATGAATTCTACTTTAATTAAACTGCATTTTAATCTTACATTTTAAATAGCAATGTTCCCATTTTCAAGCAATCGATATGAGTAATGTACTTAACCAGTTTCAGACCCCACACTTCAGAACTGGGAGCGACAGGAAGGGAAAGATCAATAAGAGAGATAATTATAAACCCAGGACCACATTTGTCAAAAGACTCATAAGCATATATTTTATAGGGAGGATGGGATTGGTTTGGCTATGTCCTCAGAGAAGGGGGAAACAAACAGACTGATTAAACATTTTGGGTGTAACTATGAAAAGAAAGGGAGAAGGGGCTAAGTGAATCGAGAACAGTGTCAACTGATTGGATTAAAAATGTTGCATTAATAATGGGGGTGTGAAGGCTGCTGAGGCACAGTGGCTTTCTGTCCACTTTAATTAATGTGTGGTACATCTGTTAGAGTGACTCAGTCTCATTACTATATAAAAACGTCTGCTCGACTTCCAGGGGATATGATGCTTCTCTGAGATGCACGTTGTTTCATTTCTATGTCTCCTGTCATGAAAGATGTATGATGACTCATACAGGAGGAAATGAGGCCGTGCAGATCGGTTCAAGCGGGCGCCGCAAACACCTGAGGAAATAGATACAACAGCCTTGTTCATTTCTGTTTGTCCTATAGAATATCTCATAAATCATTTGCTGGTGCAACTGTCAGCAGAAGTGCTGAGGACACAGAGATCAATATGCAGACATATCCATAAAATCCTAACTAACTCTTCTTATCCTTCTGAATTATCAAAGAATTCATATGGCTAGCATGTCTGCTTGTTTTTCTCTGAATACCTGCAGATCTAACAACAGCAGCAGAAGTAAGTAGATTTTCCTTTTTCCTGTTTGTGTGTCTTGAACCAGTTTGCCTCTTCTGAATCAGGAGCATCAAACAGAAACGTGGTTCACCAAACAGCCTTTGAAAGCCATCACTGTGATGAGAATTGACGGATGAACACAGATAATCCACCCGCAGCAGAAGGGCAAACTAATTTATTTGATGTAGTCATTTTGTCCATATTTCTGAGGATCAGTGGTCTATGGTGTGGATGTGATTAGAATAATGAAACTACCAGTAAAATTCTTCAGTCACATGCTGCTGTTCAGGGACTGCAGAGACAGTGAGCAAAGAGGAGATGATTCAAAATGTACATTATGTGATCACCTTAAACCTGTGGCACAGGTTAAAAGTTGACAATCTCAAATAGTTAACATGGCTCTGCATCAGAGCATGTTATTTTGGATGGATTCTGATTTTAAACAGCATATCGCTCTTGCATATTTTAGTGAAATGGAACTGAGATGTGTCATCAACTCCTCTCACTGGCAGGCAGCGCTACCATTTTGCCTCCAGAGCCTAATGGTTACCCACATAACCGGAGTCATCCGATACAGATTGGCGGCGACAAGGCTATATAGTGCTGCAATCCAGCTGGAAACTGCGTGGCCCTCAGGGAAATCACTGCCAGATTGCTTTGGCGAAGGTCAGAATTGACCTGCTGATTAGTCAGAGAAAGGTCTGTGCAGTGGACGAGACATGACTGAGAGGAAGAAAGAGACAATGAGGAATAAATACAAGGCAGCCTGTTGACTATATATGTCAGTCACACAACAGGATGTGTCATCTGATGTGTCCTTCAGACTTCTTTTATATTATCACAACTGTGTTTTGCTGTGTTGCCATTCATTATCTGCATATGCGGCATTCTCCTTGGGGGGGGGGCCCACAGGAGGAGCTATAGGTGCTGACAAATACGTGTGCTGTCAATAATACATACTTAAATGTGCAGAAGAATGGGAGAGCATTCACGTGGATGTTCCAAGTTTCCACATCACACTTTTGGCCTCCTCCAAACCAGCTCTGAATGAAGCTCACACGTCTGAGAGAAGGAGCCTGTTCCTTAAGAGGAAACCCTTGCTCCTCGGTGTTCACTAGATGGCACTGTTACCATGTCCTTCTGGGAGACACAGTGCACCGATCACTGTGCGCTCTCAGAAATGAAAGCAGCAAAATGAAATGCATACCAATTTCCAAGTCACTGGAATGAGACTCCAGCAAATACGAATTGGGCAGTACGGTGGTTTTGTTTTATGTCACCGTTTATTTTATCAAGTAAGCATATTAAATGAAAAATAAAATGGCCGGATGGCTGTTTTTGACCACAGGTTCTTTTCCCATTTATGGTTGGTCTAAATGTATGAATAAAAAATATAGGAACATCTCCAAAAATGAAGTAATGGATTCAGTGACCTTATGTAGTTATGTATGTAAACTGAGAGAAACTGATTGACTTTCATTACCTCGACTCCTCTAGAAATAACCACCTGGCAGTTTACGCAGCTCTCGGAGGGCAGGCTCCTTTTGACCTGGAACAGCAGAGACGCGTCACCGCGGATGTGGGCGTGGTTTGCGGGGATGAATAACGTTGTAGCCTCCGTTACGTTGCAGCAGAATCAGAGTCTGACAAGGGACAAGACCAGGGGGGGCTGAACAGCTGACCAGCTCGCGTAAATCTGAGCCGCAAGTGATGGAAAAGACGGAGACCTTTTTATACATCTTCATCGTCTCTCACTACATCTGGAACATCGTCTTTATCTCGTGGCTGTTCAGCTGGACACCTACAGGTCTAACCAACTATGGATTGCTTAATTGAAGTTGGGCCACCTGATCCTGTTTGCGGAAGGGCAAGTAGCCAAATATAGAGTGACAGAAGTCGTTATGGACAGTTGTGCAAATCGTGCATTTCCTTCTCAGACACCTGCTATGAAAAGTAGACTTTCATCATCTGGAAACCAAACCGATTTCCGCGTAAAGGACATGGACACTACGGTTAAATTCAACGCTGCCTGAAATGCTCTGCGCTATGTTTTAGTAATTATGGGGAAAAGCTGTAGTTAGAATAGCGGGCGTGCTTGTGTGACTCTTTTGTCTCTGCCGACTTTGGTGTGAGTGGCAGCCAGCTGTGATATGCGCGCATATCAACTGTGCGCTACAGTTTAGCCGCGACTCTCCGCAGCAGTACCTGCAATCTTTGACAAGGCTCATCAACCACTGTGAAAGGTTCTGCTGAAAATATCGTTTCAAGTCCTGCAATTAGAAGTTTCAGTACAATTTAAGAGAGTTTTTAAAGCTGCGTCCAAGTACACCTGTGTGCCAGGAGGGAGCTATGGCTTTACCAGATGGTGGTATATCTGGGGAGGAAGTACCCTTCCCAGAGATTATAGAGCTCAATGTTGGTGGTCAAGTGTATATAACCCGCTACACTACCCTCACAAGTGTGCCAGACTCTCTGCTATGGGAGATGTTCAGTCGAAAGTCAACCAAAGGACTGGCCAGGGATACCAAGGGGCGCTTCTTTGTAGACCGTGATGGTTTCCTGTTCCGCTACATCCTGGACTACATGCGGGACCAACAGCTGGTCCTTCCAGACCACTTCCCAGAGCGTGGGCGACTGCAGAGGGAGGCTGAGTTCTTCAACCTGCCAGAGCTTGTTAAGCAGCTGGCACCCAAAATCAGCAAGCAGAACTCCCTGGGCGATGAGGGATGTCAGAGCGACCCAGAGGACTCCTCGCCTGGGATCGACACGGCCCGCAACCTCGGCTCCCTGGGTGCTGCTGCTGCTGCCTGTGCCAGCCTGGTGCCCAGTGCCATGGACGGCAAACGGTCCGGGTTCATTACTATTGGTTACCGAGGCTCTTACACCCTAGGCCGTGACAGCCACACTGATTCCAAATTCCGCCGGGTGGCACGGATCATGGTGTGTGGAAAGACCTCCCTGGCCAAAGAGGTGTTTGGGGAGACGTTGAATGAGAGCCGTGACCCTGACCGCCCCCCTGAGCGCTACACATCCCGCTACTATCTCAAGTTCACCTTTCTGGAGCAGGCCTTTGACAAGCTGGCCGATGCAGGCTTCCACATGGTGGCCTGTAATTCCACGGGAACCTGCGCCTTTGCCCACGAGCAGACAGACGACAAGATCTGGACCAGCTACACTGAATATGTGTTCTACCGTGAGTGAGACTATCGGCTTTGTACCCCTGGTCCCCCACCCTGTCTCCAAGTGCCCCCTTCTAGCCTCCAGCCATCCTGTCTTTCTCTCTCTGATGGCTCCTGCACCAGTAGATGTACTGTAGATGTTGTGCGCTTCCATCTCTATCTGCAGCCTCCAGCTTTTATCCTGTGAACAGTACCCAGCAGCTGCTCTGACTCTTCATATCTTCTCTGCAGGTCGAATCTGCAGCCCTCCCCCTCAACCCCTAATCCATCCCCCCCTCATCCTCAGGTCCAGCTTCTGCCCTTGTTTCAGCCGTCGTTTCATCTAGCTGTAGTCCCCCAGTCCTCAACCGCAGCAACCCCACAGCCTTTTCCTGCAGAGATTGATATCTTCTATGTACAATTTCTCCTTTTGTATATATTGCATCTGCCTTGGTGAAGCACAATACTATATCCAAGAGCTAATTTTGTTAAACAAGCTCCCTGGTGTCCCTATATGACCACTGAACCAGTCATAAGGGCATAAGGGAAAGGGCTTCACAGAGTGGCCATCATGTACAAAGCTATACTTTACCTGCTTACTCGAGCAGATCGAACTCTCTCCTACGCCCCTGAATTAAATTACCAAATAATTGGACATCTTAGCAGCCTCAAGGGATATGAGCAGCCTCAGCACAAAAAAAGTCTAACACAAAAATCAAATTTTCTTCAGTTTTTATTAAATGTGTCCAGTACCATGTGGTTTGAAGATGTGCTCAGAAAAGCTCAACTTTAAAGAAGTCTCGTAGACAGAATGGGGAAAAAAGGTTGTTGGATGAAGTGTGTGTATTGATTGTGGGCAATGGAGCTTTCAGTATTTTAATCACCCACACACAGAGAGAAAGCAGAGGGGATGGAAGGTGTTACATCACTTGCATCCCACTGCTTTCTTTCTTTTTTTATTATTTTTTTATTATTATTTTGCTCATTGTGCTTCTTGGACACTTTTCTGCTCAATGACATATTTAAGAGCAATTTTACAGTGAAGCATTTCTTGGGGACAGACTTCACACCATGACTACATGTTGTTTTCCCTGAAAGAAAATGTGGTAGTCGCCTTAGGGAATCACGTTTTGAGTGTTCTGTAAACAATGATGTTAATTCTCGGTTCAGTGTTAGTTGAAGCTGTTGCATATTTGATGATAGCTCTCACTTATTGTAAGTGAACACCCATGTGAAAGGGTGGGATTGTGCTGTAGCCAGCCAAAGCCCAATGTTTTCTCAACACTGTAGCACGGGCATTGTGAGGGCAGTTAATAGTGAGCTTGTATAACTTAAAGTAATAGAGCAGTGAGTTAATTATTTCCAGTTACAGCCTCAGGACAGGTCTGCGCATCATATACCTCAGACTAAAAGACAAACTGAACTTCCTAAATCCAACAAAAGATCCAGCTAATGACATGAAAATGCAGACACATTTAGGAAAATCAAAAGGAGGCTTAATATAAAGTGAAATTTGAGTTGAGAAACGGTGAGCAAGGCAGGATAGTGCAGTATTTCACCTGAGTTATAAGCTGTCAGGTCGTAGCATTGACAGAACAGCTGACAGTGACAACAAATGTGTTCTGAAACGTCTAGAAACCACAATGTTATGTTTCAGGGTGATGAAGTGCTGTTGACATCCAAGTCGGTGTGTTAGACCCGCTGCAGTGTGTCGCTGCAGGCATAGAAAGCACAGTTTTTTTTTAAGTGTTCAGCAAAAAGCAAATTGATTTGTCAAATAAAAGATGTTTTCTTTCTATTCGGGTTGTATTTTCCATTCATAAAATGGTTTTTCAGTCTTGAATGGCATTCAGCACAAACTGTGAAGAGCCTGGTGCATGTCCTCCCATTGCTGCAGTGTAAAATTTTAATTTTCAGTGACAATCACAAGGAAACCAATTCAAATTTTCCTCTCACCATTTCCCCTTAAAAGAACATAAACTCTACTTCACATTAAATGTTCAGCGCTCTGCCTTCAGGCACCAACTCCTTCATCCTCTCATCTGCTTTTGTCTGGTACTGTGCAGCTGACCAGAGAACGGAGCCAGAATAGAAATGAGGACATGCATAGATAACAAGCTCCGTTAAAGCAGATTCCAAAACGTTTATGTTGTTGCAAATAATCGACCTAATTACTATGTAGGTAAAAATCTTGAAGCAGATTGAAATTAAAGTCCAGGATTGTGAATCATTGTGATTGTTAAGGATTCGTGCGGGGCAACAATTTGTCCATTTCTAAAAGAGTAGAAACACACTCAGACAGAAAAAATAGGCACAATTTACACTTGAATAACAAACAGGGTTATGTTAATGTAGGTGAAGGCAGTCGCATGTTGTTGAATAAATTCTGACTCGGTTTTTACTCGGAGATTATCACATGCTAATTACCTTCGTATAAGACATCTAATCTTGATCTCAGTCTGGCCTAGATTAAAGCACATCTGATAAACTTCACAAAGCCTGTTCAATATATGTGGCTCCCTTCCTGGAAAACAGATGATTTTTGTTGCAGTCTGAAATCCTGAGAGACAAGGACAATCTGTTGCCAGCAGTGTCTCTCCATCCCAAACAGTCACAGGCAGCATTCCTCTGTTGCCGTCCTCTGGCACTCTGCTTTAACACGGGAGCACCACGGTCAGTCATTAGCACAAGCATGGAGAGACACGCCTCATACGTGAAATTTCGGGCATCGCTGTCCTAAACCGCTTTCTGTCTTTGCCTCCCTGAGCTGCCTTGAGACTCAACATTCAACAGTAAATGTGTGAGAAGTGTTGACATGGAGGCAGTGAACAGCGACGGCAGTGAGGTCCACAGGCCGGGCTGTGATGAAGTGCTACTTGGGTGTTTTTTTTAATGCTCTGGTGTGAAACCTGTGGCTGAAAACTGTAGCATGCCTGCTCATGTGCCACATATGAAGCAGGCTCTAGATGTGTCACCATAGTGCTTGTTTTATCCAAAGTGTTACAATAAAGATATTTTACCATGAAATTTTGCTTCTCTGTGTTTTCAGGGGGGAAAAAACAAAACAAAATCGATTGCATTTGTCAGACAGTTCCTGCTCATCACACAGCACACAATCAACTTAGCCTGTATATCTTTTGTTCCCACCAATGGCTTCATTTTAATAGAATTTCTCAGTAAGCCTTTGCAATTCAACTCCTGCCACAGAAGTACAAAAACACAAAGAGATGTTCTCTGAAAGTACAAGACTATTTTCTCTTTGAGTGCTCTACCTTGAAGCAGTGATTTGACCCGTGTCGTGTTCCTGTGGTGTCACTGTCACCCTAGATGATGCTACACGGCACTGGGCTCTCCTCTCTTATAGGAATGATCCCCTTGTTTCCGATCCAGCTGGATCAGTGCATCTCCTGTGTGGAAAAAGAAAGGAAGAGACAGAGGAGAACAGGAACAGATGTGCATCAAAGGGACAGGGGTTGGAAAATGGAGCACTGAAGCAAAAAGATACAGAGAGACGGATGACCTGGTAGAAGCGACATGAGACTGGGAGTGTATTTAAAGGATTTGGTGTTCCCATTTTATCTCCCTTCCTGAGCAGCTCCAGCATGACATATCCTGTTAGCCAGAGAGGTGCTGGATTGTCCTGACAAACAAAGCTCTCACTGGGCCGTGCTATAATGTTAATGTGCTCTTCTGTGGCCTGTCAGCTCTGTCAACACTCACAGAGAAATTCTGTTACACTAGGTTAACAGAGCTCCACATGATTACTTCTTATGGTTGGGGTTAACTTGGATTCATAGTATGATTACATCCACAAAAACAAGGGGAAAAGTATTATTCATCTGTGAAAGCAACGGTGTGTTCTGTTTCGGCTCTATGTGAATCATGGGCTGTGCCTTTAAATGGACTACGACCAGCTCAGCTTCCCAGACTGCATCTTTCTTTATGAATACACATACCGCGTGCATTAGAGTGACAACACAGAGCACTGCAATGAGTCATTTCCCCTGCATCCCTAGAGTGAGTGTACTATCAGATATAAACGTGCTGTGTAGGTTAATTCTCAGCATTCAGCAGCAACCCTCTGCAGCTGAAAGCTTATGTTTTCTCAGCCTAAATGCCATGCGTACTTGTGGATCTATGTGCCAGTCTGTTTAGTTTTTAGGCTCGTGTTTGTGCTTATATGGATGTTTGGAGAACAAGTTGGATGCATATTGATGCCTCTGCGATGGGTGGGTCAGGGCTGGGATGGTATGGGGGCCACACGGCGACAATCCACTAGTCTCACAAATCTGCTGAGCAAGCAGTTGGCATCTCTAAATGTGCACCGAAGTTGGTAGTAGAAGATATGCGACAATCCCCTTGTGTGAGGCTATAATCTCTCAGAGTTGTGCAGCTTTGGACCTAATTGGCTGCCTTATTTTCACTCTTCTTTATGGTCAGTTAAATGAAATAGCAGACAAACGAGCCATTTGCCTCCTTCATCTTCTCTTGATAACAATAAACAGGAGAATTTCATGCTAATATAGAGAGGAAGCACTGCTGCTAATTACCTAAGAGTAATGTTGGCTAGTGGGAGGATGTACTGTAGTGGACTGGGGAGAGCATGTAGCAGCTTTCTCCCTCAGTATGTTTCATATGAGTGTGAAAAGAGTGTATGTGTGTGTATGTGTGATGATCAACTGAGAGCTTTGTTCATTTGCACATGTACATGAGTTCAGGCCCCACTCTGTTTGTCCTTGACGACAACACAGTTCGCCCTCGGCACCGTGCGAGCCCATATGCACAGTAGTGTTGGCTCGGAGCATCTTTATCTCATTGTGTATTGGGTTATTTTATAGTGAGCCAGACACTGAGGCAGATGTGCACCTTCACTGCACCGCTCTATCTGCCAGGATGGGCACACACATGCGCCTCTCCTCCTCATCCTCACACACAGCTTCAGGGAGCAGCTGTCATCAAACATATTCTCCCCCGATCTCCACAGGGGCTCTAAGTTGGAGGTCAGGGGGCAGTCATACTGCGGGGCTTAGGTCGCAGTACAGTATTTTCTCATCTCTCTCTGTGTTGTTGCTTTATTATTACCATTAAGTTCACAGTTTGTTCTTTTCCCCTTTAAGCTCCAATACACAGAAAGAATAACCAACAGTGGAAAGATTGAAGGATGTGTGAAAATATAAAGTAAAAGTCAGATGGGAATGAGGGAGCAGAGTTAAAAAGGGTGAATCACAGAGTCGGGAACAAGTTGAGGGATTAAAAAGGAAAGCAACAAAAAGGATAACGGTAAAAGTGGTAAAGTTCCTGATACACTATAGCACCATAGAGACTGAAAAATGTGAAGAGGAGTGAGGAAGCAGCAGTTTGAATGGAAAGAAGGGGAACAGAAGAGAATTGGGACACTGTAACAGATTGGGTAAAATGAGTTGGAAGTTATGGCAATAACCGAATGAGGTAACAACTGAATGTCTGCTAGACTCAGCTGCAGTTGCCATTTAAAAATGCAAATTGTTTCATTACAAAAGCAGCATACTGATTTTGCACCTAGAACTACGCACTGATGGCAGAAGCACATTTCTGATCAGTCAAAGAACATGGTCTAAAGTCGGGATGCACTAATGACATTTCTTGCTCCTGATTCCTATAGAAGTTTTGCTCATACAGGCTCTGATGCAATATATATTTTATTTCTACTCTTTTCACAGATATTACAATTGCATGACACCGCCAGCCAGTATAACATTTCTTCATAGAATAGTAACTAAATAATCATGAATTCCGTTTCTTTGCGAAGAGCACTGCAGGTGTGCAGCATAGCAGTGCGGTGTTCAAGCCTTAGCTGAGGTTTCTGTGTGGAGTTTGTATGTTCTCCCCGTGCCTGTGTGGGTTTTCTGCGGGTACTCTGGATTCCTACAACAGTCCAGAGACATAAAGGTTAGGCTGAGTGGTGACTCTAAATTGCCTGTAGGTGTGAGTGTGTGGGTTGTCTGTCTCTCCCCAGCTGTTGGCTGAGTTAGGCTCCAGCCAGCCAGGCTCCAGCCCCGTCACGACCCTCTGCAGGATAAGCAGTATAGATAATGAATAGATGGACTGTAGGTCATTTGAATCCTGGTTTGCTTTTATACTGTTGCTTGAATTGATGTTTTTCCCCTTTTTAAACAGTTTTTATTATGATATATACTGTAGCTTTATGTTGCTTAGATTTATGGTCTTATTTTATTCCTATTTATTTTCTCTGTGTTCATAGTCAGTGTTCCTTGACAAGGATGGGACCGCAGTCCGTTTCATGTGTTCATGGATTAATAAATCGAACACTGGAACTTGATGCTTTGCCCAGGGGCAGCGGTCTCAAAATCTCTCTGTAGCCGATGTTCATAGGCTGATATCTGCAGAAATTTCAGCTAATGAGCATTCACTTTGTAAAGTTTCTTTGCAAACAAATGTCTCAAATCACTGATGATATTTAATTGCTGTCAATCACTGGCGAGGGTGAAAAGACGTTCTATTATTGAAGGATTGTAAATATGATTAGAATGGAAAGTTTTGTATCTATAATTATTTATAACAACGCAGTATACTTGTAACCACTGCATTTAAATAGTGGGTCACTGAAGTTAGAACTGTATATATAACATGTCCACTATGAATGAACTTTGTGAAGCCAGTGTGAAAAGACTGCGAGCAGTTACTATGTCCTTGCTGATCTAATCTATCTTGCATTAAGCAGCAAGCTGTAAATGTTAGTCACTGTTGTTGATGGGATGGGATTTACCTCGGCCATCTGGAGTCTTGGGCTTTAATC